TTCACATGTCCTACAGCTGCTGTTCAAAAAAGAAATCAGGACAGTTCTAGACTACCTTGTCCCCAAATGCAGCTTAATTATTACTATTTCTTTTGCTATAAAGACCCTTAGGCCAAATGAAAGATCCTTCCACATAAACTTGGGTAAACTGAGTCAGGGCTCTCTAAAATCCATGGTATAGTGAATTGAGTGGCATAGCATCCTAGGCAACCTGAATCTGAATCCCCACTTCTACCATGGGAGCTCACTGGGTGACCTTGGGCCCATCATAAACTCTTGGCCTGGCCTACCTCACAGGGTGGTTGTTGTGAGAAAGTGGAGGAGGGGAGAATGATATTCTAAGTCATTTAAATTACAATGGGGGAGAAAAGCAGCGTGTGGTGCTGGAAAGTGCTGTCAAGTTGCAGCAGACTTATGGTGACCCTGTAAGGCATTCAGAGGTAAGATGCATTCAGAGGTAGTTTGCCATTGCTGACTTATGCATAGCAACCCTGGACCTCCTTGATGATTTCCCATCCAAATACGAATCATGGCTAACCCTGCTTAGCTTCCAAGATCTGACCAGATCAGGCTAGCCTGGGTCATCCAGGTCAGGGCATACCAAAAAGGCAGATACAAATAAATAAATTAATCGCAGATCTATTTTCAGTGACTCATCCTTTTTAAAAAGGGGGGGGAGCCTATATGGGCACAGCTCTCTGAAAACTGCTTCAATATAGTACACACAAGAAAACTTGAAGATGACACTTCAAAATTAATTTTAATAACCTGCCACATTGGAGGCTTTGTCAAACAAGAAGTCAACAGCATTTGTGTATTATTTCGTACTAGGAGTAAGGCCCGTTGTGGGAAGAAATACAACGAGCTCTAGAAGGAAGCTCCAGGTGAGTGTCCCGGCTGTGGCTAGTGGGGCGGCAGAGGGAAGGGGAAAATAGAGGGAGGCAAGCCATGTTTATTTCCTTCTGCTTAGCTATAAAGCAGGGCTGTCTCAAGTCATTTTGCTGCCCCAAGTGGGTAGTATGGGAGGACAGCCTCATGGTAACAGGTATGGTTCCCTCCACCCCTGACTTATGTTGATTTGAGGTTATGCAGTGGCAGCTAAGGTAGAAAACCACCTCCTCCTATGCCATGTCTTCTGGGTTCTAAAGGTCTGGAAAGTAGTTCCATTGCCAGTTACACAGTTGCCAACTCTGGGTTGGGAAATACCTGTAGATTTGAGGGGTAGAGACTGGGGAGGGCAGGGTTTGGGGTGTGGAGGGACCTCAGCAGGGTATAATTCCATAGACTCCATTACCCAAAGCAGCCATTTTCAGCAGGGTATAATGCCATTGAGTCCATTGCCCAAAGCAGCCATTTTCTCCAGAACTGATCTTGGAGATCTCCAGGTGCTGCCTGGAGACTGGCAATACTAAGGGGAGGGCCAGACCGGTAGATTTGAGGGGTAGTGCCTTGGGAAGGGCAGGGTCTGGGGTGTGGAGGGACCTCAGCAGGGTATAATTCCATAGAGTTCATTGCTGAAAACAGCCATTCTCTCCAGTAGAACTAGTCTTGGAGATCTCCAGGTGCTGCCTGGAGGCTAGCAATGCTAAGGGGAGGGCAAGACTATAGATGTGAGGGGTAGAGCCTGGGGAGGGCAGGATTTGGGGTGTGGAGGGGCCTCAGCAGGGTATAATTCCATAGAGTCCATTGCCCAAAGCAGCCATTCTCTCCAGGAGAACTGATCTTGGAGATTTCCTGGTGCTGCCTGGAGGCTGGCAATGCTAAAGGGAGGGCCAGACCTGTAGACCTGAGCGGTAGAGCCTGGGGAGGGCAGGGTCTGGGCTGCGGAGGGGCCTCAGCAGGGTATAATGCCATAGAGTCCACTGCCCAAAGCAGCCATTGTAATAGCTGGGAAATTTTCTGTAGGAAAAAGGGAAAATGATATGCTGTGGCTGGGGAACATGGTGATTCTAGGAGATCTCCAGGCCCCCCAGGGAGATTGAGAAAACCAAAGAAGGGATCACAGTACAGGAAATACATCAACAAAAAGAAACACTGTGATGAAGTTGACAATAACATTTAATTCTTATGAACATCAATACAAACTTTTGCAATATCACTCAGGAAATTCTAACATATTCAAGAAAAAGTCCACCATCTTCTATGAACACCCGGTTTTATACCCATTTCAACAATCTTCTTGAGGAGTAGTCCTGTTATGTTAGAAGGTGTCAGCCTCTTGATACAGTTTAACTACTTCTTTTGCTTCCTTCAAATAGTAGCAGCAAGTTAATGTTACTGTCAAGTTAATGTTATTGTCAATCTCATCACAGTGGGGAATTTCACATTACCCAGTTTCACCCGGTTTCAAGCCGGCAATCATCCGTTTTGAAATGAACCGGTACAGGGCTGCCATTTCACACAGGGCTTGCCCCTACCGGAAATGAGCCGGATCAGAAGCGGTTTGGCATTTCAGACTTGCACCGCTTTGTTTTCCCGCTGTTTTCCTCCCGCGTGGGTGACCGATTTTTTTTAAAAAACGTTCGATTTATAGTGCTATAGCAGTATAACAAAACACTCCATGCATTCCAATGGGATTGATATAATGCTATTCCGTTATAGCGCTATAACGCTATAAATCGAACATTAAAAAAACAAACAGCCGGAGATCGCCCGCACGGGCGAAAAAAGGCGGGGAAAAAGCGCATCGGAACCGGGAGAGGGCACTGGAGACCACTTGGAAGTGGATGACAGGTAAAACGCTTCAGTCCCGGTTCCTAAACGGGACTGAAGCGTTTGTGTATGAAATGGCAAATAGATTCCAGAAGGGAACCGGTTCTCAAACGGGTTCGGTCTGAAATGACAGACCAGAACCCATTTGAGAACCGGTTCCCTTCCGGAATCTATCGCCTGTCTGAAATTCCCCAGTGTTTCTTCCTGTTGATGTATTTCCTGTACTGTGATCCCTTCTTTGGTTTTCTCAACTTCTATTGAGGATAAATGTTTTTGTACTGGGCCTGTTTTAGTAGTTTAACTGTGGATATTCAACATTTTAATTTTATTATTTATTTATTTATTTTTCACATTTGTATCCCACCCTCCCCAGAGGGCTCAGGGCGGCTGCATGGATTTAATCCATATACTGTTAGTTCCAACTTGAGAGATGGAGAGCAATTGTTAGCCTAATTAAAAAGAAGGCAGAAAAGAGGTCTTAGGTGCTACCATTATAGACAATAATGGAACTGGAAGCAAGTTAAAAGTTATAAATTACAAAGAAAGTAATATTAGTAATAATCCATTCAGCTTCATGTATCTTTTCATTCCTAGGACCATGTTGGCTTCCAAGATAATCTGAAGATAGTAGAAAAAGAAATATTAACCTGTAAGAATTGAAAATGGATTTATAAGATAATTACATAGAGCCCAGTTCATTTAGGATTACCCACAAAATTATTTACAATTAGTTAATGTATTATATTTAGGAGTTCAGACTTTGGTAACCTTGTCGATGGCCTATACATTTAAGAAAGAAACATGCTACTTTCAGCTGCATGGAATCTATCAGAATAGTTTTTTGTGAGTTTCAGTTCCAACCTGAGAGATGGAGAGCAATTGTCAGCTTATTTAAGAAGAAGGCTTTTAGCCAGATAGAAAAGAAGACTGAAATGTTACTCCTGTAATCTACTGGAGAGCAAGTGAGCCAGCAACGTGAGATAGGGAGCATTTGCCAGCCAATTTGAAATAAGAAGGCTTCTAGCCAGATAAAAAAAGAGGACTGGTTGCTACTATTAAGAAAATAATTAACTGGATTGCTCCTAGTACAAATACTTGAAATGGAACTGGAAGTAAGTTTAAAATTGTTGAAGTTAAAAAGTAATAATTTTCAAAAATGTATAAATTAGAACAAAACTACTTTCCATTCAGCTTCATGTTTCTTTCTATTATAAATAATCATGTTTGTTTTAGGATAATTTGAAAAAGAAGTTAAGATGCAATAATTTGAAGAAAGTAAAAAAGAAGTTAATGCTGCTACTATTTGAAGGAAGCAAACGAAGTAGTTAAACTGTATCAAGACGCTGACACCTTCTAACATAACAGGACTACTCCTGAGGAAGATTGTTGAAATGAGTATAAAACCGGGTGCTAATAGAGGATGGTGGACTTTTTCTTGAATATGTTAGCATTTCCTGAGCTATATTGCAAAAGTTTTTATTGATGTTCATAAGAATTAAATGTTATTGTCAATTTCATCACAGTGTTTCTTTTTGTTGATGTACCCCCAGGGAGATTGGCAACTCCAGTCACTGTTTAAGGGAAGATTGGGATATGTATGTTACCTCAGGACACATTCAATGACTTGCAACAACAAGCTGTTTAGAATTTTAGAGGCAAAGGCGAATCAGGCCGCATATGCAAATGACTGTGTTCCGACTGGCTACTGGGTGTTGAGGAACAGCAAACTGTTTAGAATATTGGAGGCGAGACTCAGGCAACACAGCTAGTGAATAGGGACAGCTTCTGAGTGACAGATCAGGGAGCGAACTGATTTGGGAGCATGTGGAATGTTCAGGAGAGTCCATGGCTCAGTTTAGACTGGAAGTTTGAAGCGGGAGGGAGTTGTGGCAAAAAAGACCCGGAACAAACTGTTCTGGGTTTTCCTGGTCACACTGCACTGACTGATGCGGGAGCATACCGGGGAGGAGGCGCAAGGGAGCGTTCACATTGTTGGCCCGTAGGTGTGGCTGTAAGCAGCTTTTTCTGGTACTCTGGTTATGCGCTTAAGCACATCCCTACTGGATCGCGGCTTTTCACATTCACACTTCCGGGAATCGGGATGGATGTGGGATAATCATGCTTTCTAGGGTTTGATACTACTTTCACCTGGTATCTTTTAAACTCGGGAGGGAAGCGTTACAAGACGGGTTGAGTACAGCTGGGGAACGCCTGACAGTTGTGTCTCTGTGAACGGCCCCTTTAATCCGTTTGTGAAACGTTTCTGGCTCGTGCCTATATTGGGGCGAACTGCCAGTCTGAATTCGGCCCATGACCAACACAGATTATATAGAGAGATTATTCCTTCAGCTCAAAGAATTATGCAGTTTGTGGTCTTCAATACTGCTAATATATCAAATACACTAGTGCTTTACTATCACAAATGTGTTCTTAACCATGGTAAACAGAATCATTTGCAAATACCACCTTTCATGCATAAGTGTTTATTTTCCATGGCTATATTAGTACAGTTTAAATAAAAGCCATTATCAAAGGCAGCAGTTCAGAAAAGGAGTAAACCATTGTGCAGCCTAGTCTCGCAGATGAATTGTTTGGCTGCATTTGAGTCCTTCATAACTCTATTTCCTATATCAAGAAACACAGCTAAAGGCATTTGGCTATCTTTCAAGATTAGAAAAGTCTGGCCCTCCTTTGCTGTAGTTTCCAGAGATTTCTGCTCCACTGAAGTCAAATCCAGGGTTCTGCAAAGAAAGTGCAGAAAATGTCACTTACACATATTAGTCAATGTATGCATATTAATCAAGTTACTTTTCAGTGTTGTTTATCAGTTTTTCAAATTAGACTGCCAGTGTGTTACAGACTAAAATTTGGGAGATCCACGTTCAAATCTGTACTCTGCCACAGAAGCTTGCTGGGTGACCTTGGGCCAGTCACAACACATACAGCCTAACCTATCACTTAAAAAAGAGTTTATTTTTTATAAAGACAAACCCCACACAGACAAAACACACAACTGTGGGGGGTTCAGTTTCATCATCAATTTACATGCTTGAATACTTCATACCATATTTGTTTTCCATGATCCACCTTATATTCTTACAAAAATTCTTTTGCATATTTTTAAATATAAGTTCTTGTATTCTATGAAAGGTTATATGTCTATACTAGGAATAAGGCCCATTGTGGAAATAAATACAATGAGCTCTAGAAAGAGGCTCTAGGAGAGTGTCCCGGCCTTGGGCACTCAGCATCAATTTGCTGTGGCGACCTCAGCAGGGTATAATGACACAGAGTCCACCATTTTCTCCAGGGAAACTGATCTCTGAAATCTGAAGAGCAGTTGTAATTCTGCGTGATCTCCATCCCTCCCCTGGAGACTGGCAACAATGGTTCCCCATGAGGGAATGGTTGGTTTGGAGAGTGGAGTCTATGGCATTGTACCTGTCTGAGGTCCCACCCCTCCTCAAACCTCACCCTCTCCAGGCTCCACCCCTCAAATCTCCAGGAATTTCAGAACCTGGAATTGGCAACCCTATCTCCCTCCCAGCCAACTGTCAGCCTACTGTTATCTGCCCCCTGGCTTCAGCTTTCCATCTCCTCCCCCTCCCTCCTAGAGAGCAGTTGTAAGTCTGAGTGATCTCCAGCCCCCACCTGGAGATTGTATCAATATAAAGACACTCCGTGAATGAATTACGAACAAAAGCAGAAAGATTATTTGGTGCAAACAATTAAAACAGTTCTAAATCTTTGTTAAAGTTCAACAATCCCTTATATAACAAACCCTTATTTCTCCTCTTGAGCCTCAAAGTCTTGATTTTGTGCCTTTTCCCCTTATAGATGTAACAGGTATCTTCTGGTGGTTGCCATCTGTAATCAATTTTTAAAGTAGTTTGAGGTTCCATATATTCTTCTTTTTCTCTCTTTGGATATTTCATTTGTTGGATTTGTTGGATCCATAATGCCATCTCTTGTCATTCTTTCATGGGGTGTCATGTTCAGTTCTTCGGTCACTTTGTCTCTTTCTGAATATGTTTTGTAAGTCATATCAATTCATCTGTATCTTCTGCATCAATATGTTCCACAATAGTAACTATGTCAGTTTGCTCTGCTGTAAGAGTAGATCAAACTTAGGTTGCACATCCTTCATAGCTTTTTCCACAGCTGTTCTTACTGCTGTTATAATTGTTTCCTGTATTGTTTAAAGTCTGTAGTCAACAATGTATCTTTGTCTACACCAGTCATTTCCAAAATATCGTGTTAAAAACAGAGAATCTCTTCAACTCTTTGTCAGTACATCCTCTAACCGTCACACAGTTTTGTTTTGGTTACATTAAAGAAAAGCAAGTGCATTTCCAAGTTAAAATACAGAGAGTCTTTCAGATTGTCTTTCAATAAAAAAACCTTACGTTCACACCACTTCTATATTTGCAAAACAATAACCATTATAGTCATATTAAAGACTGAGACAATTTCAACCAAGGCCAATGTTCTTATAAATTGTTAACAGTACAGAGAAAACAGAGTGTACTTGATAATATCAACAAACCAAGACAAAGTATGTTATGAGAGTATAACATATATAAAATTCAAATTAAGTTCCTAATAGTTCTTATTGATTCTTCTTCTTTGTAGTTATGATACTTATTAAAATATAGTTATTTGTAATCCTTTAAAGGGTCTTCCTATGATTCATATAGTTCCAGAAAATTTATTTGTAATTTCTAAAAAGAGGATATCTTATTTCCCTGAAAGTCAAAGCTAGATAAGAGGAATATTTCCAACATTTTCTAATCCACTACACAATATTGAAAGATTGATATTTTTATTTGACAGTTTTGTTCTCAGATCACAACTTTGTCTTCTTTTGCCCAAGCCATTTTAAAGGACGCTTTCAGATCTTTTCTCAGCTGCTTGAAGTCCCGATCGAGCCCCTTGCACTGTGCTCCTCTTCAGGGAGTTCAGTGGAGTTTGGGAGCCCCCGAACTCCTCTAAAAAAAAAAGTCGATCTGGCTGGCACATGGGAGAGCTTCCCGGTGTTGACCGTTCTCACTGCGCCGGCAGCCAGTCTCCTGCCTAACCTATCTCAAAGGGCTGTTGAGAGGATAAAATGGAGGACACAAAAGATGTAAACAACAAAGATGACACACCATTCTGATCTATATTACTTAGAGCAGCTAAGTGTAAAACTTCTTTGTATTCTTGGCAGAAGTTTTCAATTCTAGCTCTCTAGCTCTCTTAAAATGGCCTCATGATCTTATCCTAAATTCAAAAGAATGAGCTTTAACAGTGATATATACATTTATTTTGGGGATTACAATAAAAAAGAGTAGGGTTAAAATTTTGCACATTTTTGTCCTTTATAAAAGTTATGTACATAAACAAATAGCTGTCCTCTTCTGAGACAGAAGACAAATCCATTCCTAGTGAATGTAAGCATATGTCCACACATACATCACTTTACAATTCCTTAAACATGGACTCACAAAAGGCATTCTTAAGATTACACCCAAGAAAGTAAAGAAACAGATACAATGGGACACCACAGTTTGTCACCTAACGTTGTGAATCATTTTGTACAGTACAACCCTATTGCCTGTGTAGAAAAGTTCTCTTGAATGATTCAGTTTTACATAGTTCCAGGTGGTCAGCCATGTTGATCTGAAGCAGTAGAACAAATTTAGAGCTTTGGCTTTATGATGTATTTATATTAGGCTGCTTTAATTGTTAGCTGCCTTGGTGGTCCTGATTTGGAGGACCAGTGGGATATTAATGTAAGTAAATAAATAATATATACATAAGAAGGATCTACGAATAGCAACTGAAGTGGCTCTACTCCATGAAAGCTTATGCTAGAATAAAAGTATTTTAATCTAAAATGCCATGACTCATTTAGTCATGTGACCTCAGTGGCACAAACTATATGCTTTATAGACTTCCGGTTTTTGGCTTCTCAATGGCGGCCACGTCTCCTGGGAGCTCCCAGGGATGAGAGCCGTAAGCCAGCAGTTGGAAGGGAGCGCGATCGTCCGCATCCCCCCCAGAGCCCTTGTGATGGGCTCCCAGCCATGGGGCACTCAGGGGTTGCCTTTCTCCCGGCTTGCTGCCGGTGGATTGAGGCTCCCTTCTGCCCCGATGGTCCTGCCGCTGTGCGCCCACAAAGGAACTAGAGTTGCTGACTGGGACAAGCGTTTGGAGGTCGAGCAAGTTACCTGGACTTGGCAAGATCCTTGGATCGAAGTTGGACGTTGATGAGTGAGTTAAAGTTGAAGTGAAGACACCAGAGCTCTGGCTTGAAGTCCCCCGATTATAAGCGGGGAGGAGGGGGACTCTCCCCCTAAACAAAATAAGCGAGTTGAAAAGCATTTTTTGGCTGGTGGATGGAACTATAAGTGGCAATGGACTATAATGGAAGTGGCTCTACTCCATGAAAGCTTATGCTACAATAAAAGTATTTTAATCTAAAATGCCATAAGACTCATTTAGTCATGTGACCTCAGTCACTCAACAGGATGATAACCTACGAATATATTAAAATTGTAAGTGGCACAAACTATATGCTTTATAGACTTCCGGTTTTTGGCTTCTCAATGGCGGCCACGTCTCCTGGGAGCTCCCAGGGACGAGAGCCGTAAGCCAGCAGTTGGAAGGGGGTGCGATCGTCTGCATCCCCCCCAGAGCCCTTGTGAGGGGCTCCCAGCCATGGGGCACTCAGGGGTTGCCTCTCTCCTGGCTTGCTGCCGGTGGATTGAGGCTCCCTTCTGCCCCGATGGTCCTGCCGCTGTGCGCTCACAAAGGAACTAGAGTTGCTGACCGGGACAAGCGTTTGGAGGTTGGGCAAGTTACCTGGACTTGGCAAGATCCTTGGATCGAAGTTGGACGTTGATGAGTGAGTTAAAGTTGAAGCGAAGACACCAGAGCTCTGGCTTGAAGTCCCCCGATTATAAGCGGGGAGGAGGGGGACTCTCCCCCTAAACAAAATAAGCGAGTTGAAAAGCATTTTTTGGCTGGTGGATGGAACTATAAGTGGCAATGGACTATAATGGAGAGATTCCAAAAGACAATTAGGTGTTTTAGCAGAAATTTGGGACTTTGGCAACTTTTCTTAAAAGTAAATATCCCAAAAATGGTGTCAGAAAGCGCAGAAGGAGAAACAAGTGAGATACAAGCCTTCTTCAGGAAGAGAGAGATCAGCTGGCCAGGCCATGTGACCTGATAACCATAGACTCTTCCTATCTCTGTGTTGAAGCTCTTCGCCCCCTGCTGGTATAAAGGAGGTACTTGACTGGAACTGTGCTCCATTTCAGCTTTAACTTTTAAAAGGACTGTGTTAACATTAGAGAATAAGCTAACCGCTGGTCATAGGGGCTTCCAGAATTTAAGAGGAGACTCTAGAAATGTTTCTAAGTGGATGGGCTGGAATGCAGATTTAAAAGCGATGCATAAAGCGAAGGGTATAATTCATGGATATACCCACAATATAAAATCTGCCTGGCAAGAAGGAGGTTAGAGTCTCCAGAAGCTATCAGGATAAGCAATATTGAAGTGTCCCCTATGATTGAAGGCGAGTTTAAGCATTTAGAAGTCCTGGAAAAAGGAAACTGTTTTAGGAGGGTCAGTTCTTGTTACAGCAATATGGAGCTACAGGGAAAGAAGATAAGAAGAAAGAAGAAACAACGATGGAAGAGAACAATGAGACTGTATTATACCTTTTGAAAAATATTACTAATTGGGGAGCTGAAATTGTAAATTGAGATGCCATTGTTTTCTGAAGTTTTCTTTTAACTGAATTAATTATTTCTCTGGAATAATCTTCATTTAATCAGGTTTGGTGGTTTTGTCAATATAAGTGATGATGAATGATCACTCTAACTGTCCAAAAGTAATTGTTAAAAAGCTATTATTTTGATGTTAAGCTATATATGACCTCCATCTCTTGGGTTTTTAGTGGTTCTGTTTCTTTATCCTGTAGGTTGTAGTAATTCCCCACCATGTTTCTTTGTAGTTTTTAGAAAATGCAATAAAAAATCCCTTTTGGGGGGCCAAAAACAAGACAAAAACAAACTATATGCTTTATACTTTCACAAAGCAAGAAAAAGAGTTCAATTAGCTGTGAATAAAATCTGAACGAACATCAGTGCTCTGCTTTCTTAACACAGGAACTCTTAGTTTATACACAAAGTTAACATAAACTAGTAACTGTGGATTTACCTCTCTCTGGAACCTTTCCAGTGTGAGCTTCCTCTGCATCTGGTCCTGGACCCAAGGATCAGCAGCATACTCATTCTCTAAGAGAGAACTCCAACAGTTTCCAGCATCACGACTGGTTTTGGTTAGGACAATTCGTATTAACTTCTGATCCTCTTTATGAAAAGAGGAAGAGGGGGGTAACAAGGAGAGAAGAAAACAGAAAAGGTTGTTTTTTGGGAGTTTTTCTTTCAAATTTAGAGATGCTTATTATTGATTAGCAAGCCGGAACATTCCCCCCCCCCTTTATAATCAGTACTACCAGCAGTATTTATGTACTCAGCACAGACCTCTGAAGGCACTTGAATTGAGGCGGAACAGCAGTGCTGCTGTTAGACCTGTCGGTGCGTTTGACATGGTCAACCATCAGCTACTGGCCCACTGCCTCGCCAACATTGGAGTCCAGGGACTGGCCTTGCAGTGGCTTGTTTCCTTTTTCCAGGGTCGGGGACAAAGAGTGGCGCTAGGGGATCAGCAGTCCCGAAGGCACCCACCAGAATGTGGTGTGCCCGAAGGGGCAGTGCTGTCCCCGATGCTCTTTAACTTCTATATGCGCCCTCTTGCCCAGATTGACCAGAGGCATGGGCTGGGTTGTCACCAGTATGCAGATGACACCCAGCTCTATCTGTTGTTGGGTGGTCAGTTCGACTCTAAACCGGAAGATCTAGACTGGGCGTTGCAACCAGGAACTGTTTGGGAACCGTTCCTCTTCCAGATTATATCGTCTGTCTGAAATTCCTCATTGTGTATTGATGGTTTTTGTAGTGTAGATTTTATTGTCACATTGTAGTGTTTTATACTGGTTGTGTAAGCCGCCCTGAGCCGGCTCTGCTGGAAGGGAAGTAAAAATCTAATAAATAAATAAATAATTTAAAATAATATAGTTGTATAAAACAGCTGTTATGTACTTAGTCACAATTTCTAGCAATAGCATATAAAGTAATGGGTTTTACATGTTTGATAAATCATAATCACAAGGTTTTTGAAGAGCTGTTGATTTAGAAGGGGTGTGTGTGATCAGATACCTCTTTCTGTTCTTTAGCATTATCACCACATTTCAGGTATCTGCAAGCTAGATCAATATCGGTAGCTGTGTTCGTCTGTCTGTGGCAGTAGAAAAGAAGTGAAGTGAGCAGTGACTCACGAAAGCTCATACCCTATCACAATTCCTGTTAGTCTTTAAGGTGCTACTGGACTCTTATTCTTTTCTACAGGTAATTGCAAATTTGTCTTCTCCAGGGAATGTGGGACGAGGACAGAAGACAGTGATTTGCTGCCCCAAATCATCCAGCGAATTTCATGGCTAAGTGCTGACTTGAATGTAGATCTCTCTGGCCCAAGTCCAACAGCTAGCCATTACATTACTCTTTGTATGCAACCAGCTATCACATTGTGAGTGACTACTGTCATTTAACTGCATTCTCCAGGTAATTTTTAAAAAAAGACAATGCCGCATGACGGAGTGAGCTCCCGTCTCTAGTTCCAGCTCCTGCCAACCTAGCGGTTCGAAAGCAAGAAATTGCAAGTAGATAAATAGGTACCACTTCGGGAAGGTAACAGCGTTCCGTGCGCCTTCGTGTTTAGTCATGCCGGCCACATGGCCACGGAAACGTCTTCGGACAGCGCTGGCTCTTCGTCTTTGAAATGGAGATGAGCCTAGAGTCGGACTCGACTGGCTTTCGAGCAAGGGAACCTTTACCTTTACCTTTTTATGTTCTATTACTGATGCTCAACACTAGTTAAATCTGATGTGACAGTTCCTAAGACTAGTCTGATTTCTACACTGTCCTACTGATTATGACCTACAGCCAATTAAGAAATTCCACTTCACAAATTCACTCATGGTTGTAATCATGAGTGAATTTGTGAAGTGGAATTTCTTAATTGGCTGTAGGTCATAATCAGTAGGACAGTGTAGAAATCAGACTAGTCTTAGGAACTGTCACATCAGATTTAACTAGTGTTGAGCATCAGTAATAGAACATAGTCTTTTTAAAATAGTCTTTTTAAAATTTACCTGGAGAATGCAGTTAAATGATAGTAGTCACTCACAATGTGATAGCTGGCTGCATACAAAGTAATGCATCATGGGTGCAATCTTTCCCTGCACAGATGCAACACAGCCCCTTTTCTCTTTCTACCTCCACCTCCCCTGCACACACAAAGCACAACAGCCTTTACAAAATATGGAAAACACTTTTCTACCCATCCACCCTCCCCCTTATGTTCAGTCTAGTAAGACAAGATCAGGAGTTCATGTCATTTGACAGGACAGTAGACGTATGGGTATACAAGTACACTGGTTTCCCATTCCCCTGGTCTGCACTGGAGAGGAGGGCAAGAGGAAGAAACACAGCTCTGTTTAGCCGTAGGGATTAATCCATGCATGGGTACTGAGAATGTGTTCACAGACAAGATTAAAAACCCATGTAGGTTTAATTAATAAAGCAAACAGGTTGCTGGTGGAAGACAAATCAGCAACAAAACTAAATGGCCTCTGGAAAATGAATATAAGAATAACAGTAGGCTGCTTACCTAGTGTCCATGTTGCTTCATCAGCTATTGTAGAATCATACAGTTTACCCTGAAAGGAAGTATTTTACTATGTTCAAAATACATACATGGATGCATATTCTGTACTTCAAAGCAAATTTTATTTATTGAGTACTGTTTATACTTTCCAAATAAATGCTGGCTGTAAATTACAATTTTTAGAAACTAACAAAGGCCCCGGTCACACGTGCAGGAAACTGCGGGGGAGAAGTGTGGCTGTTTGCCCCGGGGCAAACTAACACGCAGTAAAGTGATCATACCTCCTGTGGAGGTTCTGTGGAGGTACCGTGGAGCTTCCATGGTTACGGAGAGGCGTCGATCACAACACATGCCTGCGCGCAACGAAGAAGCGCGCGGCGCGGCGAACTGGGTTTCTTTTTTTGTGTACACTACGAATGCGCATGCTCCGTTGAGTGCTTATGCGCAACCACGGAGACTTGGGGAAAAAAAAAATCTTCTTCGCAAGGGGACATGGACGGGCGCCGGATGCCACCGGAAACGCGATCAGACGCCCGCCCTTGCCCCGCAGTTTCCGGAAACTAGTACCTCCGAGGTACTAGTTTTTTGCTCCGTTTTATCGGCGGATCGCCACAGTTCAACCACGGGAGCTCTACGCTCCCCAGATGTTGCCGTGTGATCGTGCCAGGTAACTCCGCCTCTCTTCCGTCTATTTAGCGTGGCTTCTGCTCCGTGTGAACGGGGCCATAGTTTTTGTTTTCAAATTCTCAACTGATTCATAACACTCATCACTGGAAGAGGACTATTGGAGGCTACAATTCTAATTCTACATCCCAAGATTTAATAATAATGATTTATTTTAATTTTATTTATTTCATTTCATTTATACCCCGCCCTCCCCGCATGCAGGCTCAGGGCGGCTTACAAGGCACAAAGTGCAATAAAGATAAAACAGATTAAAACAGTTGAAGCTAAAAAATTCACAACTAACAGGATACAGGAAGACTAAAAATTACATATCAGGAGGAGGTCAGGAGGGGGACGCCATGCATCTAATAAGCCTATGCCTTAGCTTATTTTTATGAATTTACTTTTCATGTCTTTCACTCCACAGTGATCCATGCGACGGTCACCTCGAGATTAGACCACTGCAACGCTCTCTACATGGGGCTGCCTTTGTCGCAAATCCGGAGGCTGCAACTGGTGCAGAATGCTGCGGCCAGGCTGTTAATGGGTCTCTCTAGAAGGGACCA